TGATATGAAATTTTTATGAGGAGCTCCTTTAACATTAAATTATAGTGTGGAATAGTTTTTTTTGTCATTTACATTTATAATTACTCCAAATTAATTTTCCTTTCATTCTTAAAGTTGGTGACAATTAAGGTTATTTGACAATTAAGGTTATTTTTAATGAGTTAAATCAAGCTTATATTTTTCTTAGGATCCTCTTACCACAGTTAACCTAATAAAATATTTTTTTATTTTTTGGATGAGTATTTTAATTATTATGATTTTTATACCAGAATAGGGAGCATTAACTTGAAAATTAGATATCTCTAGTTAGAGATGCCCCCTGACCTTTGAAAAATCAGGGGAGATGCCTAACAATAGAGACATAAAAAAATCCATGCTCCCATGCCATGGTGAAATATATATGCAAATGGAGAATTAAAATAAGAAAAGCACTATTTAATTAATTAAAAATAAAATATTCATCAAATGGACGTGAAAATATTTCCACATTGTTCTCCTCTAGTCATTGAGCAATAGTGTATTTTTATTTTATTTTAGTGATTTTTCTACACAAAGTTATGATTTTTAAAGTTCTGGCTATTTATTTAAATAAGAAAATTCCTATTTTTCTACTCAAGTGATGCTGCGCCACGCAATCCTCATACACGTCGAGCTTTAGATACGGCGTTCTCTTGTTCGGTGTCGTCGTCCACGTATCTTCCCCGTCAGCCCATGGTTCATGCTCCATTCCTCTGTCCAACTCCATCACGACCGTCCATCCCATAAACGCGCGATCCGACGGTGCTCCTTCATTGTCCCCGAAGCCTCTAGCCCGAGAGTTTTCCACCTTCTAGACCTAATATCTTGCTTGATTCTCCACCAAATCAAGTTAGGTTTGTTCCTATTGACTCGTCTTGATGAGACACACACATCTATACGGTTAATCAAACTCTAAATCAATTATAAGCTCATGGAGAATTAAATGAAGCTCAGTTTAGCGTTTAAATTCAATACATTGGTCCAGGAGGGGAATCCATGATTAGATGCTTGTGGAAGCTTCGTGGGGGTCCAAAGAGCTCCTAGATGAAGCCTCAAGTCGTGGTGAAATTCCTATGTATGATTTTGACCAAGGCCGTTTTGGGGTATTGATCAAAGTTCACCTTAGGGTGCTCTAGCAATGGGGCTTCTATGGGAGATCTTCCTCTCTCACTGTGGGGATGGTGTGGGTGCTATTAATTTGAATTTGGTGGAGATTTTTGAGATGTCCTGTTTCAGCGTAGGGATTGAGCTCCAAAATTGAGCTTGAGCAATGGATTTGAGTGCCTAAGGATGGTGGGATAGAACTCAAGAGGTCTTAAAAAAGCTCTGGAAGCAGTTTGACAAAGTCTCTCTAAGGAAATTCAAGCTCTTTTTGTTTGACCATGGAGGATGGGTTTAAATAGAGGAGGAAGGAAAGGCCACCAGGGGCAACTTGTGGATGCTTTAATTTTATTATGTGGATGCCAACAATGTGAAAAAATCCAATTAGGATGAGACAGCTTGTATGGGTTTAATTTTGAGATTTAGCCATGGGGGAGCTCTTGGGGGTGGCTTTTCCGGCAGCCTATGTGGTCGGCCGGCCAGGCTCAGGTCATCATCCTACTAGGATGGTCAGTGCTGGGCAAATGTGAGGCCAATCTGGTTTGTGCACGGGTAGAGGTGATTAATTGAAGTGGAAATGGATTTAGGCCAATTTGGGTCAAGCTTGGGTGACTCCCCATGCCAGACCAATATCAGGTGGCTCAGCTGAAATGGTGTGGAGAGGTCTCCATTCAAAGGATTTGGTCTAATCATGGGTTTAAGCGTGTCATTAAAAGTGTTAAAAAAATATTAAGGGAGCTTTAAAGTAGCTTGACCTCTTGCCACTAATAGTATGCTGATGTGGCATGGCTCATATGGCTTGCATATGGCATGGAGGTGGCTTCATGGCTTACCTTTGGCTGGTCAACTTTCATGAGGAGCGATTTTTGAATTTATGAAATATTTTTGTGGAGTTTGGCATGATGCTTGATTTTGAATGATTTTGTTCTGAATTGAGGACTTTATGAATGATTTTAACCAAATGGATTATGGAAAGAAAGAGTTGTCATGTGGGCTTTGGATTTGGGCTTTTGAAATTAAATATGGTGGGCTTGGGCTTCTGAATTTGAAATTGATTTTGGAATAAAATTTTGGGATAATTGAATGTTGCATTTGGTTTAGGGGGATATCATGAAATATTTGAAAAAATTTTAACTGATTTTGAATTGAATTGGTGGGCTAATTTGATGGATGTAGGCATATGGTCAAAATTGGGGCTTTTTTATTTGGGTAAAATTGGGCTTGCAAATGGGTCAAATTGAGCTTAAATTTTGTTTATATTAGGATTTGGGATACTTAACTTTGGTTTAAAATTTAAATTAGGCAAAATTGGGGTCAATTGGGCAAAGATTGAGGTTAATTTGGGGACATTTGGGCCTTTAAGGGCAAATTGGGGCTTTTGGTCAAATTGTATTAATGTGGTCAAATTGGGTCAAATTGATGATCAAAAATTTAAATTGATAATATTTGGGATAATATTGTAATTTTTGGGAATTTTTGGAATTTTTGGGTCATGAGGGGCATTTTGGTAATTTTGGGCAATTTTGGGGGTATTTTGGAAATTTGGTGATTTTGGTGAATTGTGGTCAATTTAGGTAGTGGTGAGTGTTTTGAGATGATTTTTGGATAAATTTGGGTATTTTGGGTAATTTTGGAATTTTTTGGCAAAAATAAGGGTTGTAGGGGTTTTGGTAATTTGGTGATTTTGGGGCAAAATAGGCCAACAAGCCATGAAGCCATACCAAAACAAAAGTAGACATATGAGGATTCATTTTGGATGCTCAATAGACTGGCTCTAACCCTCTTAGCCAAAGACTAGGGGTATAGGTCCATCAATATAAGCTTTTCAGAATGGTCAGGATACCAAACTAAGGGATTCTAGGGTTTGCGGTATGTGAGAGAGTGTAGTGTGTGCAAGCCATTTCAACCATCACCAGATCACTCAAGATTAGTCCTAAGGTTTGACCATCCTATAGGATACTCCCCTTGAGTTACCCCATGCTAACCCCACCTACTAAGTGCTAGAGGTTAAGACCAATATGTGGAACTTAAAGTTGAGCAAAGAAGAGTTTAGAATTTCTAATTGTGAGGGTTCCTTTTCTAGTCCTCTAGGAATAGTCAACAGGAAAGCCCTATGGCTAGACCCTAGGCTATTAAAGAGGAAAAAGCTAGACCTCAACAAAATGAGGTCAACAGTTGTAACATCATGAGGCCCACCCGACTGAACAAGCTAAGCCATATGAGCAAATTTAACTAGGCCAAAATCAAAAGATCAAGTCAAGTGATCCATGACTAAGCCATCTGAAACAAAAACAAGACAAGAGAGCTTCCAAGCCATCTACTACAGGAAGGTCAACTCGATGTGATAAACTAATCTTATATTGGAGTTAGCCCAAAAGAAGAGTCAGCACCACAAAGTTTCTCTTATCATCCAACAAAGAAAACAAAGAATTGTCACCAGAGATCGAAGATAGTCAACAAAGTTGTATCAGCCAACCAGTTCTTGCTGACTAAGCTCAAGCCACCGAGATGATCTTGTTGAACCAAATCATCTAAGCTTAGCTGGTTGAGCTAGAAGGCAACCAGATGATAAGTTGTTACATGTAAAATACCAAAAGTATCGCACTACAAACTCTCTCTAAATGGGAATAAAAATATAATATCACTGTTGTGCTACCTCCTTTATTAAAAAGAAAAATATTTTAAGAAGATCCAATACTATTGAACGTTATTTATTTATATTCATCTTTATCTCTCTTCATCTCTTTCTTTTTTGCTCACTCTCTCTCTCTCTCTCTCCTCATTTACGCTCCATTTCTTGGGTGTGATTCACATACAATATCATATTCGACGGTACAGTTAAATTTGAATTGCATATAATAGAGGGAGGCATGGTAGCAATCTAGTTAAAGCCTGATTGTGAATATGCTCAGGTTTGATTCATTAAAGCTCTTAAGTTGTGGTTAATGAAGCAAATGTGAAGCTTATTTCAGATCAATTGATTAACTCATTCACCTACTTATTAAAAAATATTAATATAAAGTACACTTAGGTTATATTATGTGAGTACATGAGTTTAAGCATAAAGTTGTTTAAAATTTGTCATTGTTGTCCATCCATATATATACTAAGGGGCCACCTAGGATCATTTTTTAATTTTTTCTACTTTTTATTTTTATCTTATTTTGTGTATGTTTTTAATTGAAGCAAAACATGTTGATATGTTAGACTAGGACATTGTTGTTTTTTGAAACACTCAAAAAACTCAAAAGTTGTTTCAAGTATTTTCAAAAACATATTTATTCCTTTTGGAAATAAAAATAAACTACCTTAAAAACATATTAGATAAACGTGCTTTTGAAAAAAAAAGAAAAAAAAGAAAAAAAATTGATCCCAAACTGTCGTTAGTTGTTTTTGCGTGTTTTTTAAAAAACAAATATATCTTAATAAAACACAACGAACATATTTTATTTTTTATCAAAATATAAACAAAATAAATTAAATATAAAAATAAAAAATAAAAAACAGAATTAATCCCAAATAGCCCCTTAAACAAACATGTTTTTAAAAATTAAGGACTAAACAAAAACAAAAAAGGAATATAAAATTTATCCCAAATAAGCCCAAAATTTACTAGATTTGAAAATGCACATGTGAGCCGCATAATCAGACATTAATTTACATTTATTCAAAAGTCAAAAATTAAGAGCATAAAAGAAACAAAAATGTTTATTCAAATAAAAGCAATGCGAGTGTACACATCCGCATATGATACCACCACCCTCATTAAACGAGGAATAAGACCCAGCGCAATTAGTAGCTCAAGTGTGAAATTCCTAACCAGGCCATGACAAAACGGCAGCAGCAAAAGACTTGAAAAGAAGACCTGCAGACTACAGACGGCATTTATTTCCTCTCTTAAACTATAGTATGCAAGCCTTCACTTGTCGAATCATTCCCCTTCGTTTCCTTCCCATTAAAACCTGACACTTCTAGTGCTCCTTCACATTTTCTCCTAGAAGATAATGGGCCTGGGCAAATATTCCAGGGAAGAAGAAGCCTACAGTTTGAGTTTCATCCATCCTTCTCCTTTCTTTCAATGGCTGAATCCTTTGCCTGCCAAGCCAGACAAGATCGAGTGTCTTCCTCTTCTCAGTAGACTTGAGGAGGCGAAGAAGAGCGCTAAGGAGGAGGAGGAGAATGAAAGGGAGAGCGATGAGAACTTGCCAGCCATGGCTTTGAGCATAGGATTGCCTTTTTTCAATGGAGATTTTGAGGAGGAAAAGATTGATCAAGAGTGTAAAGGCGAGGAGGAGGAAAAGAGAAATGAGTGCTTAGAACCGGGAGGAAATGTTTTGGTGAGTCAGAACAGCCGGTTTTGGATTCCTACACCAGCTCAGATCCTTGTAGGAGCGCTGCAATTCTCTTGCTCTGTTTGTCACAAGTCATTTAATAGGTATAACAACATGCAGGTAATTTGTGATCTCTCGAAGGACCTCTTGCCTGTTTTCATTCCTAGTTTTTTTTTTTTTTTTAGTTAATATTTCGAATTGGTCGATCTGTTGAATGAATTTTGATATAATTAATTTATAGTTGCTTGATCTTTTTCTCTTGAATTGTCTGCAAGGAATTACGGCTTGTATTGTACAGGTGACTGGCATTGTCTAGGCATGATCTCTAAATAATAGCCGCCTTAACATTCAATTATGTATTTAAAAAAATTCTATTTTCTTATAAGGAATATATATTTATACATATATATATATATATATAGGTGGAACAAAGAGATGAATGATACAAAGATATATATATATATATATATATATGTATGTATAGGTAGATAGATAGATAGATAGATAGAACATATTCCTGAAACAATCATGTTTTTATTGTAATAATCATAGTTTTTAAAATAATTGATATCAAGATCACAAAGATGAGTACAAACATTAATCGTAGGAACAAAATGACAAGAAACAACTTCCGTCATTGTCATAATTTTCAAATAAATTTGTCTAAAGCTTACAGTTTACAATCCTGTTTATTATATTCAAATGATCAGCATATTTTCTTACAGATATGTATGTTCTTATGACATCTTGTATGTTGAAAAAGAGAAAAAAGAAATGACATCCTATATGCACAAGGAGTAAGATGAAAAAATATCATGGGTAAAAATGATATAATATTATAATATACATGATAAGGATAATTCATATTTCATGTAAATTAGTTTCTCTTGCTTGAAGAGCACTCCCAGCTACCAAAATCAAATGCAATGTTCTATTTTCCTTTTTCTATGTCCAAATATTTAATATATCTAAAGTAAGCGACGAGTTTAAAGTATGAAAAATATATATATTTGCTCAAAATCGCAGCTTTTTATGACATATTGCTTAAAAATCATGCTGAAATTTTGCTATCTTTTCCATTATGTTGTTCTCACGAATTTCTGCTGCCACTTGAACTCATTTGTCTTATTTTATTTATTCAATTATTTGAAGATGCACATGTGGGGACATGGATCCGAGTACAGAAAAGGTCCAGAATCTCTTAAAGGAACGCAGCCATTAGCGATGCTGAAGCTCCCCTGCTTTTGCTGCGTCCACGGCTGCAAGAACAACATAACCCATCCCCGAGCAAAGCCACTAAAAGATTTCAGAACTCTGCAAACTCACTTCAAGAGGAAGCACGGTGTAAAGCCCTTCATGTGCAGGAAATGCAGAAAATCATTCGCTGTCAGGGGCGATTGGAGGACACATGAGAAGAACTGTGGGAAGCTCTGGTTCTGCTCTTGCGGATCAGATTTCAAGCACAAAAGATCACTTAATGATCACATTAGATCATTTGGAAATGATCATTTCCATTACATTCCTTGCAGGAATATAATTGATGGACAGAACCTACCAGGCTGAAATTAACTTACCAGTAATACTGATCTTATATATAGTTCATGTGCTATATAAGAATTAAGAACAGAGGGAGCTGAATTAATGAATTAGGATATGTAGATTTTATTATTTTAGAACTTGTGTTCAGAAGCAAAATGCTTCTTTTGGGGGTGAAGTGGTTTGTTTTCAGAGCACAGTACACCATAAAGAGATGAATGATACAAAGATATATATATATATATATATATGTCTGTATATATATATTAATCCATATTTATGCGGCTTGTGAAATTATTGAAGTGTATCTTGGGAGAGAAACGGAGAAAATTTGTTTTTTTTTTGTTTAATTTTTTAGTGTATTTAATCAAATTATACTTTCACTTACTAACATGACACTCGTTCTCAATTCATGGAGAAATATTTGCGTACGTAAGACAAACGCAGTTCTGTACATATTAGATTATTCGGAGGGTACAGGTAGGTTACACTTAGCTTATAAGTTTACACTTAAGTTATATATAACCTAAGTGTAAACTACTTGTATCCTCCTAATAATCTAATATGTACACATACGTCTTATATGTACGTAAATATTTCTCCAATTCATGAGACTGAGGCAATATCCTCCTAATAACTTAATATGTACACATACGTCTATATACGTAAATATTTCTCCAATTCATGAGACTGAGGCAAGGTTCCTCGAATATTGAGCTGTGGGTTGGTCGGCAAGCTCTTTTAACTATGCTAGCTCATTGCTTTATTCTATTGAAACAAAACAAATTATTTTATTATTTTATCATTACATAATGACATATTAATTATGTTTTTATCTGAAAATGTGATTTAGGTGATTACGGTACGACTAAAAGCTTTAGTGGGAGTTGTTTGCCTCAAGCCTTTGTATGTTTTTGTTAAGCAAAATCTCTGACAAACTTTTATTAAGAATTTGTACTCCTAAAGCCTACAGCAATAATAGTTTTTTTTTTAAGAGCATCTACGCCTGACAATCTTTTGGCAGCCACAATTATCCTGCAAGAATATGACTACGGATTATTGTAAGCCATACATCTATAAAATATTATGGATATCCCACAAACTTTTATATATACATCTTTAATTACTTGTTGAGAGATTGCAACTTCTTTTTGTGAAACTAAGATTTTAGCCATTGAAGTGCAACATTAATGATACTTTTTATCATGAAATATTTCAGCAATAAAAGCTGGTTAAATATGAAAAAAAATGTGACCAAACACATTGATATTACTTTTATTCAAAAAAAATGAAAAACCTAAAGTTGGAGTGTGAGTTGTTCATGGATTCACATACAACAAGGAAAGCATGGGGAAAGGGCTCCCAGCCAAGTGAGAGGATAAATTTTCTTCCTTGTGAGAGAGAAGGGGGAAAATTGTATTTGTTACATAACCCCATATCTATTTAAGATTGTCATTTCATATATTACAAAGTAGCAACTCATGATACATAAATCATAAAGACAAAGTTCTTCAATTTAAACCCTATTGTCCATTCTGGTTTTATCGATAAAATTAAAATTATCCTTGACTATGCCATATTCTAGCGGTTATTACATATAACAGTGCTCGGGTCACATAGATGTATGCCCACTAAGATTTTGAGATGATCTCACGTCGACCAATTTATCTTAAGAGAAAATCATATTGTTGGAAAAAGTCGGTTTCTCAGGTTTTGAAGAAATTGAATACCCTGACAAGTGGATGGGTAATCTTACCAAAGATTAAGTTCAACACTTGTGTGTTGTTTACCATGAACTAGCTATTGTATGCCGCTCACTGATCATAGGGAAGTGATTTTGCCAAATTGGTGTGGCTAGTTAGTAGGTTATTCAAGATCTTGAACTCATACTTGGAAGTTGTAGTTTCCTCAGGAACTCGATAGTCTGACTTAACGGTGTAAATTCAATTGAGCTTGGTGAACTATTTAGCTCTCCCAATCATGTGCTTGGTCATAGAACATTCAACTATAAGAAGTTTGGATTTGGTTTGAGTCTCTTTTGACTGAACTATTAAGATTGTTTTTTTTATTATTGAAAGAATCGTCCAAATTTTAGCATGTTTAACAGACGCCAAAACAAAGTATGATTTAGGCATGGAGGGGACCAATTTAAGTGTTTTGACGGTACTCACGTGCTCGCATTTTTTTTACATGATGTTTCGTTGAAAATTTTTATATAGCGTCATTTTTCATGCATGAAAATCATAAAGAAAAGGTTTTTAATAAAAAGGATGTCCAGTTACCATCAAACTTATTTGCATACTTCTCATTAGTGAAAGTACACATCATGCAACTTTCAAAACAAAATTCTAATCATTGGATTGATCTATGAAGAAAATAATAATTTGGGGTGATTGGAGCACTATTATTGCATGAAACCTTAAAGTAAAATATTTTACATAAAAATTGTGTTATATAATCATGAAACTTATTTATATTGTATTTAAATATGATAATAAATATCATGCAAATATCAGAATGAAATCTCAATCTCTACTACGGTATGTAGGCAAAATGTTAATTTTTTCGAATGTGTGTTGGGTTTAAGCTGATTTTTAATTTGTTAGTTTTTTTTATTTTAGTTGGTTAATTTCAATTTATATTCACTTGTATTTTAGTTTTTAGAATAAATTAAGATTATCTTAAGTTATATCTCAAGTGGTGTTCAAATTATAGTTTATCTGAGTTCAATTCAGCCATCTGGTGATACAAGGAAAGAGTTCCTATGTTCCGATGAGATTATACGTAAGCCAAGGAAAATTATTGATAAAAGTAGGTCAAATAATGGCTCCTCATTATGTGTAACGGAATATACAAAGTTCCACACACATATTGGAGTTGATCAAAACAATCAAGTCCACGAATTAGAGTATTGATATTCAGAATTTGAGTTTCAAATTTTTTGAATGTGATATGTGAATTGAAATTTTTATTTTATTGATTGATGATTTGATGGTCAAAATTTATTAGTTTTGAGGTTTCTTATTGATACAGTTCATTAAAGAATCACGTTGGGGATTAGAACAAATGTTGCCTGAAAGAGCTCAATTTTAAATATTAGGAAAAGAAGTTTTTGAGAAACTTACTCTTTACCTAAAAAAGGCAACTGGAGCAATCTAATGATGGTGAAGTGAAGTATAAAATAAAAAAGACTGACGAAGTTAGAGTTTTATTTACCGAAATACATTAGGGTGGAAAGCATAAGGACTTGCATCTAACCCAATGAAGTGATCATGGTGATTAGATTAGGATAAAAAATATAGAAACTCAAACATAAGACCCCCATTTTATCCTTTCGGGATACAAATCCTCCTATGACACGGAGGATTTTTGTAATAGAGGAGCGCTCCCATTTTTTATATTTTCAAATATCTTGTAGAGTCAAGCTATTCAGGATTTTCTTCTTTCCATACTAGGGGTTTCACATTTGGGCAAAGGTGGAGGTAATTTTTCTATGTTGTGGATGTTGTCTTCTCTTTGTCAGGCATAGAACGAATGAAACCTACTTCTTTTAAAGAAACAAGAGGTTTCTAGTACAACATCATCGATTTCAGTTGTTATTCTTGTGTATCTTTTATAGAGCCTCCTATTCTGATTTTTTCTTTAAGTTTTACTTACTACGGGATTGACTTCTTCAGATAGGTAGATCTTAAGGATTGACTTCTTCAGATAGATAGATCTTAAAGATTATCAATGTCTTAATAGTTCATAGATCAAATCAGGAGTCTTTTTTATTTCCACTCTCGAAGGTTGCTGGAGGGATTGACTTCTTCAGATAGGTAGATCTTAAAGATTATCAGTGTCTTAATAGTTCATAGATCAAATCAAGAGTCTTTTTTATTTCCACTCTCGAAGGTTGCTGGAGAACAAGAGTGGAAGTCACAACAATGATAGCCTTAATAGACTTATTTTTCAATGATAAGGAGTCTTCTCCCGATCCAATGTTCAAGGGAGGTGAAGGTTTCTTGTTGATCATTTGAAAGTCAACTGTAGAAAAGTTGGGATGGCTGAGGCCTATTCCGAACTAGATTGGGAATACACTGTTAAGATGGCTCGTGTCAAAGGCTAGATTAGTTATAGTTCTAAGGAAAAAAAAATAAGTTTGGAGACATGTTATCTGTAATGGGTATAAAAAGTTATCAACAGAGATTCTATTGTGGAATCTTTGAAATTTTTTTTAAAACTAAGATTGGAGTTAATTTAAAAATGATTTTGAAGAGGAGAATTCATGATAGAGCATGCCTTGGAAACCCTACAAAGTTAGGAAGTAGGAGCATAAAGAATTAAGTTATGGGATAGAAACTGAAGATTCAAATAAGTTCCATAGACCTATGAAATGCCTAATGATGAATAATGAACAATTTAACTCATCACAAAATATTGAGAGAGCGACAATCCCTAATAGAGTAGCTAGGAAAAGTCATGATGAGGGATTTTTGTGTGTCACCACATACTATAGAACTTTTGTAAGATTTCTATCTAGATGAACAATCACGAAATTTTGATGAATAATGTATCTTTCAAAAGGAAGAAAATATTATCCTAAGAATGAGCCTAATAACTCAGATGATGAAAGCCTTTATCAGTCTACGGAACTAAATTTTTTTCTCTTATCTTATGGGTGTATCATCCAATTTAAAATTACCAATTTTTTGTGCACATTTTATACCCATTTTTTAGGATACAATGCTTTAATGAAAAGTATTTGGTGTATTTTTGGTTACAAGCACATGAAAATAAGTTTAAGAGAAAAAAGAAGCAAAAATATATCAAAAAGGAGCAAAATGGGTCATACCAAAGAAAATTGACAAAACAAAACCAACTGAACTGGTGCCTAAGCACCAGATGCAGACTGCGGCTAGCGCCAAGGCACGACAATTTTTTTCTAGAAGGTCCATTGAATGTGGTCGAATTTAGAAGAGATGTTGATACACCTAAAATATAAAGTGTTTCTATACACATTTTTATACCTATCTTTTAAATATTGCATTTTAATGAAGGGTACTTTTGTGTTTTTCTTTCAGGGACAATCAAATGGAGGGAAAATGCTAAAAGGAGTGAGAAATAGTCAAATTTGGAGCAAAAATGAAGAAAGGTGCAAAAATGAACTAGGGCGCCTAAGCGCTCAAGTCTGATGCCTAAGCGTCAGAGGCTCCGCGCATAAGCATCAGGTA